TCATTACAATATAACACCTGAGCCATTTGCTCAGTAAACAGTCTAAACCTTCTTGTTCTATTTTTGCAAAACGAAGATTTGTTCATTTTGCTTGACCGACTCGTTGCTATTAATTGATCCCTTATTATGTTTTTTTCTTCCTGAAGGTTCCATGTTTGTAGTGGGCTGCTCCATGGGTCCACTGCTGCACTACTGGTACTCCTGGTTGGACAGGGTCTATGTGGGCAGAGCCATGCACACAGTTGGCAAGAAGGTTCTGGTGGACCAGCTGATTGCCTCACCAACAATTGGCTTGTGGTATTTCTTAGGTGGGAATATTTTATTAAGAGTTTATTTGCACAAAGTAATTTTTTTCCATTAATGCAAATATACACACCTCAGCATTCACCCGGCTTGTAGCACATGATCAGTTTTTCTATGACACACATGCAGACGTAAGACATAGTTTACAGAGTCAAAGGTTGTTCTTGAAGACGTGGGTGAGGTAAAACAAAAGACAACCTTTGTCAATATCAGAGGTGGAGTTCATAGGTCGCCGGTTATAAACGGCGTGAATATGATTGAGGTTTTCTTTCTCTTCTTATCTAAAGTTGGTTTGGATGAAACCTGGCGCTGACGCACATCTGAAAGATTACTTTGTTTACTGCAGGTATGGGCCTGACGGAGGGACACACTTTATCCGAAGGATGGGAGGAGTTCAGAGAGAAGTTCTGGGAATTTTATAAGGTAAATACGCACCTGTCAGGGTCAGGCCTGCAGATCAGTGCACATGTACTCACTTTGTCAGTCACTCAATCCATCACAAGTTCTTCTTAGAGAGGAGACGTTACATTTGCAATCCGTCATGTCTGTACTTGTGTCCTTTGAAGTTCAGGTAAAAAATGTGAAGCAAAAAGCTGAATGTGTTTTAGGGTCAGTTTGGTTGCTTGCCATGACACTGGCAGCATTATCTTTCAAACTTAAATATTCAGAGATCGAAAGGAAATGATTTTCCTCATGTCTCAAATTTGTTAGCCTTGCTGTTGATGCCTTGTTGCCAAGGTCGAATCAGTTCTTTTTAGCCAAGCTACCAGCATTAGCTCTAGCGCCACCAGCAGGCTGACACTTGCAGTTATAAGAGACATTTTTCAATGATTTCTTATGTTTTACAGACACTTATGTCTCCCTTTCACATACGTTTATGCAGTTGTCCACACGTTGAACAAATGTTTCTGCATCAAACAGCTCCTTGTTTTGTCTGCGACCCTTAAAAATGTGACAAGTATAGACGATGTGTAACAATCGTTATGAACCACACACCCGCAATACTATTAAATGACCTCTGAGACTGATTTTCCTTAGAAACTTTAGTCTTTAGGAGAATAATTTGTCAAATTAATCTTACTCATGGTCTTCTCTAACTCACCCGTTTCTCTTCCGTCACATTTGTAAAAGCAGAAATGCAGTTGCTTGGCAGCTGAAAGTGACGGATAGAACAAACACAGACCAATGAGCATTAACATCCTGTGTTTACCTGTGGTAATGCCTGTACCTTAGAGAACAGGCTTCTCTCCTCTTCTCACAGTTGTGTGTGCTGGTTGATCTGTCTGTCTTTGTTTGCTAACCCTTATTGTTCTGGCTGGCAGATGGACTGGTGTGTCTGGCCTGCCGCTCAGATGATCAACTTCTATTTCCTCTCGCCTAAATTCCGTGTCCTGTACATCAACGTGATCACTTTAGGGTGGGACACCTACCTCTCCTACCTCAAACACAGAGTAAGTCAACCAAACAGCAGATTAAAGTGTCATTCCGTCAGTATTTCCTGGATAGTTTCTGCTTCTTCAACTAGACCAAATTGTTTTGATTGAGGGATTATAATAGGATACATATAAATGTTTTTTTCATAAACGTTCATTCCAGCGCACCCAAACTAAAAGTCAGGTTAACAGACAATAATGGACATTATCTAGCCAAATAATAGATTTTCCTATCAAAAGGGCTCATTACATTTTATTAAAATGTTCTTATTGTTTCATTTTTTGTCTCAGGCTTTAGTTTTAATATTTTGTCTTAATCAAAGCTAAAAATAAAAACACTTCCACTAACATGTAAGAATCAGGAGGGCACAATATATTGTG